AGAATCAGGCACGTTTTCGAATTCGCTTTGGGAAGCGGTGGCGAGCATTTAGCTCTTCTTATCGCAGCGCTAACCTCACTTCTTGCATCAGTGCCGTGCTTTCTTTCGTGTTCAGTGACTTTGAATCCACACTGCACTGAAAACCAAGTGCGACGCACGGTCGAATCTGCCGCAATGCGGTTTTTCCGGCAGACATTTAACATTTTCTGATGTGTAATTATTACTTTATTACTAAGTGAAAACCGTGTTAAGCATATACAATGATATTGTCCACCTTTACAAAAATTTAATACAGCATGTAGTCAAGATAACATCGAGATTAACCTTGGTCACGGCGGGGTGAAACCTTCGCAGCGACGTGGGCAGGTAGGATCGCTAGGTGTAACTGGAGGTCCTCTGCGAATCGCCTTCGCTGAAAGAGGTGAGGCGATGCGTACGTCGCTCTGAGGGAGGAGTCGCTGCGCCAGTCGATAAGTCTCGCTGGGAGGGGAGGGCCGTCCGCAGCTCATCACTCTGCTTGGGCGACTGGTGTGACTGAGGTCGGTCAACGCGCGCTCAGATTAAACGTCTCGTAGCAATGCCGGAGCCAGCCATGTTTGCGGCCCAAACGTAGCTCAAACGTTGCGGGCAATGCTCAAACGTAGCCCCTCCCCCCTACCAAGAAAATATTAAAAATGTTAGAGTTATCTCTTCGGCATGAGAGTCTCAATGAGGGTTTTTATATTCAAGAAATAAGAAAAATGACATATTGTAATCTAGAAAACGTTGTTGGAAATATATTTTAAATAATAGCTTTAAGTAAAGGCATTTAGTGATTAACTTCACTTGAGCTTTAAACACACAAAATAATTGTGTTTAGTCCGTGTTTAATTAAAATGACTGATTGTTTTACATGAAATAATAAATATGCATTTCAGTAGAACCTAGTTTAATGCTAGCCTTATTTGATTCATTTCATTATCCTACCTTTTAAATAATTATTTTAATTGTATTTAAAGTAACAAATAATTGAAAATTATTGATTGAAATTAATAATTGAAATAATTGAAAATAATTGAATTTTGTGAAATATCAAACTACTGTATCCTGACTTATAAACGTACGATTACGATTTTTACCTTTATGATTTAATTTTCTATTATTTACTATTTTTTCCCATCAGTCCCATCACGTGGCCGATTGAATTATGGGGCCCCGGGCGACCGCCCCGTCTGGCCATGCCTAGCTATGCCTCGTTCAGTAGGGTTGCCCTAAGCGCCGCATCTTCTGTTATCTTTGGATACTGACTGACGATCTTTTTATTTATAAAATACTTTTCTAATATAGCTTACCTAGCCACTTTAGAGAATTGTTTGGTAGTGATACATATATGTATATGATAATAAACCGTAAAAAAAATTAGGGTGGACCGACTAGTCTCCTCAATGGATTGAAAATGAGGATGAGGTGTTTCGGAGCTAGTGATTTGTGGAATGAGTGCGGTAACGTGGCTTATGATGTGAGGATATAATTGACATGACGGAGGAATTTTTCTTCAGGGAATCAGTTGGTGATGCCTGATGATCTCTGTTTGCTAGTCCATTGTGCAATTTTTCAGTTGACAAGAAATTTATTGAGTCCATATTTTCAGCAATCTACGTGTACATACTCATAGTATTGTTGTAACCATCTGCGTTAGCTCAGAGTTAGCATTGCCGCTGACTCAGTTGCAAAACTGTGTAAGAGGTTTGAGTCCCACCGGGGGATTTTCGTCACTTGTTTGATTGGTCGATCTCAGTCGCTTTCGGTCAAACTCGTCTCAGTCGTCTAGTGGGGAACTGATGACTTGGCAGATAAATGAAGATTCTAAGAAATTTGACCAGGCTTTTTTGGTTTTTTACTTAGAGTCCCCTGAGGAATATATTTTGTGTAGACCAAATTAGTTAATGCTGTGGAAAATCGATTTCAAGGTTTCAACGGAAAACACGTTTTGAAGTCCCCTCATATCGAAAAAGATTTTTTTTTTCAAAACTTCTGTCTGTCAGATGTCCATCTGTAAACATCACTAGCGCCTAAATGTTATGTTGAAATTTTGCCCAAATCGTTTTTCCCAGGCCAATCTGGTTTGACCCCAAGCTTTGCGATTTAAAAAATATTAAAATTTGTAGTTCATTACATTAAGCTTCAATGATATTTTCAAATTTTTATCAAAAATGGCTACAAATATTGTTGATTTCTTTTGAAAAAATATTGTAAAATACACTGTTAAAGATGGAATATATGGGTTTTTCATGGGTGTTTCAATACATCGTTTAAGATGGAATATATGGGTCAACCATGTAAAAACGTGTAACACAAAATATAGAAGTCAAAAATACATCCACCTAAAAAAACCGATGTTTAATGCAGAGAAGATTTTTAAAAACTTCGATGACTTGACAACATCAACACCTACAATGTGTTAAGAAACGGTATTGAGTGCCTGCCCACGTAGTTATTAGTTTTTATTCTTAGTTTTTATTCTTATGACACTTTGTTATTCCAATATAAAGAATGAAGTAATGGTGCTAGAGCATGCACAAACATTCACCAAATAGTTTTCTAATGTATTTAATCTGGGATTCCGTTCTCCCGCCTCTCTTCCCTAATATTCTCTATTTCCGCTTAGAGGTCATTTTTAAAAAGATCAATCTTTCAATTCCTTAATTATATAATTGAAATACCACGTTAAGAAGATATTACAAAAGAGATTAGGGAATAGGTTACTGAAGGTATACTGAAATCTCAGGTCCTACAAATATTTTCGTCGATAGCTCTGGAGGCGTTTTTTAGAAATATTATATTGAGCGCCTCTGAAAACGCACAATATTTAAGCCCATTTTCTCGGAAAACTTTTGCGTTACGAGAATCTTATATGGAACAGAGAATAATAGAAAAGTATCACAGTATTTTTATAATATACATTTATATTGAAATATAAATTAATATAAATTATTCTAACAAAAAACATGGAAGTTAAAATCGCCTTAAGAACTCTACATTAAGTCTATCGGTGATCTAGCTTGAAACATCATCTTCGAAAGCCGCTGCTAGGTGCGTGGATGTCGGG